TGTGTGTGTGTGTGTTGCAATGATTACTATCAGGCGGAGAACGTTCGTTCGCAAAATCGATTTGTGGAGCAGAAGGTGACGTGTAGTGGAGTGGAGTATTGTTGTACTTTTAAAAATTGATCGTTACGAAGCTTTAGCGTTGTGCGTCACTTTCACGAGTCATTTGTACGTGATCACTGATTGTATCAGTAGGTTGTGCGTTTGCTTTACAGGCTTGCGCCTCGATGGCTAGCGGTGCAGCAGAGGCTAAAACGAATTGTATTGCAAAAGCGGGTCTCATCACTGGCGGGTTCTATCCACTGGTGAGCTGATATCGCTTTTTCAAATCTGAATTTTTATGCCATGCAGTCAAAACATTTACTCAGTTCCTCTTTATCGTATTGCTGAAACTGCCTTCAAATTGTTTTTAATTCGGCTGAGATATTTTTCGTTCAGTATAGCTTATACTCTTGGGTTCATTTGAGTCACGGAAAAATTTGCAAACTGGTGAAGTTTCATGTGACGAAGTGTCAGTTGTGTGAGGTTTTATTTGAAATTTATTTGCGTGAAAATTTGTTTCGTTGATAATTTGAATGTGCACATTTTTTGGAGCGAATTTGATCGGAAGAATGTTTCTTTCCTTTATTCTATTCAGAAGAGGTGTTTTCAGAAGTCGAAAAAGGTTTATAATGCGGTATTGAAGGATCGTGTACTCGAAATCTACAAATCCACGAATCATGAGAAAAGCGGTAAAGAGCCAAAGTTTTTGTTCGACTTATCGATAGCGTTCGATATACATTTGCATGTGAGTTGCACACAATTGATTTTTATGCTTAATTGGAATGAAGAATTCGATAATGATGTCTCTCCCTTCATATTCAAATTGAGATTCGTTCTTGTTTTTATTGGCGGNTCTTGTTTTTATTGGCGGGGTGGAGGTAGGGATACATACATATTGAAGATTTGCTGAACTGCATATTGAAGTATTGAAATGAACTAGTTCATATCTCGAAAAGTTCCAAAGCCGTGGTATTTTGGGATTTCAGAGTAGATTTTCATATTTTCCATATGATTTTCAATTTAATTTTCATACAAATTTTACAATTTGTTTCAGAAATTTTTCGCAGTATTTTTCAAAAATTTTCAGCGATATTTTCGATGTGCTTTTGTTTTGCATAGTATTTCAAGTTTTTGAGGTCAGCTTATTTTTGAAGTGATAATGATTTCAGTACGAATGCACACTGAAAGAATGCATCTCAGTGATGCTGCCCGACGAGACATTCTTCTTGAAGCCGTTATCAGACGCCGACGATTTAGAGGATTGGTTCTCACAGTTGATCGATAAAACGCGTCAAGCGCGTGCCACCCGCTTAGGAAGGCCAGTTTTCAGAGAAGAATACTTTGAGGTAGTTTTTGGTGTCACTTGCGAGAAATGTGTTCGAATGTGTTCACTGAACCATTGTCCGGTAAGAGTTTGACTGCGAAAAGCAACTTCATTGGAGAATGATATTTTAAGATTGCTTGGGATGTGGAGATGGTTAAATTACCGAAATTACGGAAGAAATCGAAAGGAGTCGATAACATGGAAGATGTTGTGTCAAAATATAGTGAGCAGTTATTGGGCAAGAGGAGGTTCGTTTCATCTCTAATTTCACTTTTTTGTCTCGATAATAAATTTGATTGTCGCA